AAATTGATGACTTTATGTGGTCTGCAAACAATGTTGTGAATATCCAGACAGTTTTCACAGAGCCAACGTTCTCTATCCCTAGTCTAGGGAGAACCTTGGTTAAAAAGCAGATGAGGATCAGAAGGAAGGTGGTGGGTTGGGAGGCAATTTCAAGCCACATTCAGAGTTCTCTATGAAGGAGAAAGTCTTCAGGCAGTCCCACCACAGAGCCCACTGTTTAGTGAGAAAGAACAAAAGCTTGGCGAGTCCCTGACTACTACAGCAACACCAGCCTTGAGCTCTGAGATGGGAAATATCCAGAAGGGAATGTGACTTTACCAAACTTTTACCTGCCCAGGTATTGCATTTTAGACTGTAAAGCTCAGAAACGAGAATTTCAAAGCAACTGAAGCTGTGAACTTCCAATTTTCGTATATTTCGAAGAAGATACATATTACCTTTATAATTCAAAACTGTTCTTTCATTTTTATCTTTTCTTTATTTGTGCCAGTCCTAAGGCTTGAACTCAGGGAGGGCCTGGGCACTGTCTCTGAGCTTTTTTTGCTCTAGGTTAGCACTCTATTACTCGAGTTACACCTCTACATCCTGCATTTTGCTGGTTAATTGGAGATAAGAGTCTCACAGACTTTCCTACCTGGCTTGCTTGGACCACAATCCTCAGATCTCAGCCTCTGGTAGCTAAGATTATAGGCTTGAGCCACCACACCTACCAAAACACTTTTTATTGTGTATAGTTAGCCAGTCCTGGGGCTTAGATTCAGGGCCTGAGCTTTTCTCTTCAAGGCTAGTGCTCTACCACTTGAGGCACAGTTCCAGTTCCTTGTTCCTTTTATATCTAGGCCAGTACTGACTCTGAAAGAGCCCCATTTTGAATTTTAAAAAATTCTCTGTCTTAGAGGACCAATTAGAAATAGGGGCCTCTGTCTCTTGAGACTCACAGTTTACCTTAGGGAACAAAGCCTAGTGAGTATCATCAGGGCTGGGCTGGAGCCCAAGTCAGGCACTTCCCTGGCACACTTGTGTTAGCCCCACCTTCTGAACTTCCTCCTTCCACTGTGTCTCCACTATTTGTCCTCTGGCTGTGGGATGTGTAAGGCCCAGGAACAGGCCTGCAGCCCAGCATGCGGTGTGGTGTCTGGCAGAGGAAGCAGTCTGGAACTCTCATATGATCACAGTTGCCTTGTCACAGTGGGGAGTCACATCTGTGACTGGAGGAACCCCTATATTTGAATAGTTTGGAGTAAAGATCAGAACCAGGGCCAGTTTATAAAAGTTTCTTAGTAGCTGGAATCAGAAAATGATGAGAAAAGACTCTAAGCAGGGGTGGATCTTTGTAATGGTGGTTGTAAGAAGCCAGCATGAGGTCCTGGACAGTTGGGATAGAAATTGTTCAGAAAAAAGAGGGGATGTGCAAACGCCAAGCCAAGAGCCTGTTCAGGAGATGGCAGCACAAATGGTGATCTATTCCTGTCCCAGTGGGGAAGTGAGAATCTAAGCAGATCTCGTAAGAAGGGTGGGAGGGAAGTGGTGGGTGGCTAGCAGAGGCCAGCTTCATCTCCAGCAGGGAAGTGGGAAATGTACAAAATCAAAAACAAATTAAAGCCTGGCATTGGTGGCTTAGGCCTGTCATACTAGCTACTCTGGAGGCTGAGATCTGAGGATGGCAGTTCAAAGATAAACTGGATAGGAAAGTCTGTGAGACTCTTATTTCCAATTAACCAGCAAAACACCAGAAATGGAAGTATGGCTCAAGTGGTAGAGCATGAGCCTTAAGTGCAAAAGGTAAGGGACAGAGCCCAGCACCTAAGTTCAAGCCTCAATACTGGCACACAATACCAAAACAACAAAAAAGCAGCAAATGAAAGCAAAGAATTACCACCATGTCCTGTAATATAAAATATCAGATAGCAGGCCACATCAGTGAGCCTGGAGTTCTAATTCGTACAAGTCTATGCAAAGTTATTCCATAGCTCATTGTCATTTATTCTCATCACAGTTAGAGCAGAAATGTGAGTCTGGAATGTAGGTTGGTGTAGGAAAAGCTTGTTGGCTTACTTGAAGTATAGGATGACATGACACTATGTGTAGCTTCCTTCCCATCCATCCATCCATCCATCCATCCATCCATCCATCCATCCATCCATCCATCCATCCACCCACCCAGCCATCCACCCACCCACCCATCCATCCATCCATCCATCCATCCATCCATCCATCCATCCATCTATCTATCCAGTTAAAAGTGTCACTGTAGTCTAATAAATAAAAATTGAGAGAGAAATAAAACCTCAGATGTTTACAAATCTGATAGAAAGGACTCCTTAAACAAAACCCAATAAAGCTTATCCAAAGAGGCCTGTCTGGAGCCCAAAAGTGTTGATGTACACAAAGGTACAGATTATACACTTCTAGTCACTGGGCATGGCTACATTGTGCAATGAGGAAGGAGGTTCATAGGCCACATTGCTAAGGGACCTGTTTGACAAACTGGTGGCACTTAAGATTCTCTTTCTCTATTTTATTTTTCATTTTGGTAAGTATTATTTTGTGTGATAAGATACAGATAGGCATTGCCTTTGTATTCCTCTCCTAAGAGTATCCTCCTTTGGTCTCATTGTGTGTGAATGCCCAAAGTCCTGTATAATTTATCAAGTCTTGGTGTATTTTAGATCTAGTTTCCACATAGGAGAAAAAACATGCATCATTTGTCTCACTGAGCTTGTCTTTCCTCACTTAACATGATTTGTTCTAGATGAGTAGGTCAACAACGTGGTACTTATACACAATGGAATTTTATGCAGCCATTAGAAAGAATATTCTCTTATTTTCTCTTTGAGTTTGGCTTACCTCACTTAATATGAGGTGCATCCATTTCCCTGAAATTTCTCTATTTTTCACATTTTTTGGGGGGGACTTGAAGTTAAGACCTCACAATTTTGTTTGGCTTTTTCTTAGTTTTTCTCTCAAGGCTGGTACTCTATCACTGGAGTTCCACTTCCACTTCCAGCTTCCTGCTGGTTAATTGAAGACAAGAGTCTCATGGACTTTCCTGTTGGGGCTGGCTTTGAGTTGTGATCCCCTAATCTCAGCTTCCTAGGTAGTAGGGTTACAGACATGAGCCACCAGCACCTGGCAGAGACTCTGACCTCCAATCAACCAGCAAAAAGCTGGAAGTGGAGCTATGGCTCAAGTGGTAGAGTACCAGCTTTGAACAAAAAAGCCTGGTCCCACAGACTCCACCAAAGGGAGGCTCACAGCAGCATAGCCTTGGCAGCTCCAGAAAGAGACACTGAGCAAAGAAGTTGCCCAGCTGCAGGAGGAAGGAACAGGCGGCAGCAAGGTGAGCCCTGCATGACATCACTTCTGAAGGCACATGAAGGTGGCTCTGCAGACAGCTGATTTATGGTGGAGGACCATAGCTAGTAAATCTGTCACCTGACCATAGTTGCATGTCTGGTTCCAGGATGGGATTTATTAACTTTAAAGCCCAGGATTTTATCATCCCCCACCCCCACCTGCCTTTCATTCTGTCTTGGTCTTCAGAGGACAGGTATGCTGGTCAAAGGAAGAGAGGGAGACTGGAGATAGGAGGATGGATTATCACTGGTTAAAGCAAGAAAGACCAAGGGTGAAGATCTCATTGACTAATTTTCAAGAAGTTAGCAAATCAAGGAGTTCTCTTTTCTCCTCTCACTCTCCCTTCCTCCTTTCTTCCTTCCTCCCTCCTCCCCAAGCCACAAGCAGCCATCAGATTTGTGGGCCCCAACTGGTTTTGAATCACAGTTTGCTGATCTCAGCCTCCTGAATAGTTTCACTTATAGGCATAATCCTTCAGCAGGCAAGGAGATTTCATTTTAATAAGTCCATTTATGCATATAATGCTGGTTGCTCATAATTACTCATCTACCTTTCTCCTTCTTCACCATCTAGTTTTTATGTATTTGATAAATGAACTTGCTCACACATTCCCTGAGAAGAGAGTAAAAGTTCAAATGTCAAAGAAGCATGCTTAATTCATATGAGCCTTGCCTGTGGTGGAAAATATCAGCCTATCTCTCTTACTTATGAATACAATGAACTAATCTTTAACAATAAAGTAAAAATATCTAGCAAAAATCTGTTACGAATGAGAAATAATTGGGGCTGGGGTATGGCGCAGTGGTAGAGCACCAACCACAAGCAAGGCCCTGAGTTCAAGCCTGGGTATTAGAGGGTGAGGAGAAGAAAGAGGAGAAAGAAGAGAGAGAAGAGAAGGAGAGAGAGAGAGAGAGAGAGAGAGAGAGAGAGAGAGAGAGAGTGTGTGTGTGTGTTTAGAACTCATGGTGATTATGGAACATGTCTAGTTTTGATTTGAGGACAATGCTGGTATTCAAATCTTGATCCTTCTGATGTTAAAACCCAACACCCTTCCCATCTTGTTCCATTGCTTCCAAGATAGAAGCTAAATATCTAAAGTCTAGTCCTGGGGAAGGAGAATGGAAAGCATAGGCTAGAGGTGAGAGGGAGCAATGACTTTAGGAGTTCAGTCTTGGGATGGGGCAATTCAAGGCTCCCGACTACAATGGAAATCCTTGGACAAGTGTCAAGTCTCTAGTCTGCTGGGAGGGATCTGAGTTGGCCAGATTGGGGTGGGGTAGGGCCAGGCTCCAGGCCAGAGGAGAGCTGGTATAAGGACTAAGAACAGACTCAGAACCCTGAGAGGTTCTGGGTATTGAGAAAGAAACAACAGTTGAGGTTTAGAAATCCTATGGTTTCCCCAGAAGGATCCCCAGAACGTTGAGCCAGGGACTGGTTTGGGACCACAGTAGGCCTTGGTGGAGGAGAAAAGTTCTGTTCAGTAAGTTCTTGATAAATGTCTACCATTTGTTACGTGGTGCAGAAACAGATAGTGATCATCCATGGTCCTGACTGGGACCTCACCATTCCAGGAGGGCAGGCTTGTCTAAAAGGGTCTCAAACCCAACATTCTAACAGAGGTCCCATTCACATGTCTCTTCCAGGGCCATGTTCTGCAATGAGTTAAAGGAAAAGTATGAGGAGAGGATCATTATTAAAGGGGTTGATGCTGAAACCATGCACATTCTCCTGGATTACACATATACCAGCAAGGCGTTGATCACGAAGCAGAATGTCCAGCGGGTTCTGGAAGCTGCCAACCTCTTTCAGGTGTGTGAATAAGCTCTGTGCTCTTCTCTGAAACAGGTTTACTTGAAGATTAGAAAATGCCCATGTGAACATTTTTTGAGAGACAGCATTGAGATGAAGTCAGGGAAATGGGTGCTTGGCATCTACACTTGGTTCTTGGCTCCAACTCAATGACTTCAACTTGTAGCAGCCCAGCTGGAGCCAGTGACCACAGTTAATACTTCCCATCCATAATCTCTAACTTGTAACACAACCTGAGATGATTGCTTTCTCCTATTTTGGGCAGGGAACCTAAGTCGGCACCGAGGATAACTAACAAGCTGTGAGGTGAACTGTGGGTCCACATGATTGTGGTGGGTGTGAAAGAAGAACATTGAGAACTTATGTGAATGTCAAAGATGAGGCAGGAGACACTCAGAATTAGCCTTTCAGAATGAAATAAATTTTGTGGAAAGCAAATTTCTGCTGTTTATACTCCATGTAGTCTGTGATATGTTATGATAGTAGCCCAGACTAGGCCACCGTGTCTTCTCTTTTTTCTTGTATTCTTGTTCTTCTTAGTGGTTGACTACTTTTAATAGATCACAGGAGGATCTAGGAGATGAATTTTTGGAGATTTAAATGTCTAAACATGCTTTTGTTCTACCTTTTATACTTGATTAATAGTTTGAGTATAAAAATAAAGTTGTGCATAATTACAATATTGTCTATCGCATATTTTATAAGTACTGGCTCCTGTTTGACACATCATTTTTAATCTATTTATTTCCTCTATTGTATTATAATCATTTTTGCACAGAAATATATAAATTTCTGCAACAGCAGTAAGTTGCTTGTTGTTCCTTGTACTGAATGCAATAAATTCTTTCAATTTGAAGACTCATGTCTTTCGATTCTGGAAGTTTTCTTGTATTATCTCTGACATCTTCTTTCCTACCTACTCTTTTGTGTTCCTTGTTCCCTTCGCTGTGTCCTATTTTCCTTAATTAATCTTTTTCATTAACCAGTTTTAACTGTACAAGGTAATAGGCTTCATTATGACACTTACAGTTTCTCCTGTCCTTTTCCCCTTCCACATCTCAACTAGTCCGTCTTTCAGTGTCATGTCCTTTCTACCTCAATATGTCACATATGGAAGAAGACACATAGTATTTGTTTTTCAGGTATGCTTTATTTTACTTAACATAATGGTCACTAGGCTTACCCATTTTCCTGAAAACAGCACAATTTCATTCTTTATAGATGAGCAAAGCTTCATTTATATATATGTATTTATGGATCTATCTATCTATCTACCTATTTATCTATCTATCTACATAAATATATTCACCAATTGATAGGCACCTAGGCTAAATCTATAACTTGGCTATGCAGCAATACACATGGATCACCAGAATGTCATCATATGTTGACTTTGATTTTTTTTAGTATATACCCCGGAGTGATACAGTGCAGCAGGATTACATGGAAGTTCTATTTTTAATTTAATTTAATTTTTGTGGAACTCTGGGCCTTAGGCTTACTAGGCTGATACTCTCACTTGAGCTGTACTCCGATACTCTTAGTTCTTTTTGTTTCTAGTTGTTGTTGTTGTTTTTCTATAGTCTTCTATTTATTGCTTGGCTAGCCCAGACTAACATCTTTTTATTTACATTTTTCACATAGCTAGGATTACACCACCACATGAGCTCTTGTGGTTGAGATGGGAAAAGTCTCATTAATTTTTTTTTTCTAGGCTGATCTCAAGCCTTGAACCTCCAGATCTATGCCTCCCAAGTAGCTGGAATTACAAGTATAAATCAGCATTTTAAATTTTTTTTTTTTTAGGAACCACCATACTGATTTCCATAGTACCTGCACTAATTTGCCTGAAATCTATACATTAACTGTACAATATCCTCTTCTCTCAGTCCTCACTAAATTTTTGTTGATTGTTTTCTTGATGATAGCCATTCTGACGATGGTGAAATAGAGACTCAATGATCCTCCTCCATTTATTTATTCTCTCTTCTGAAGTTATCATTAGTGAGATGTTGGAGCTCCTGGACTTATTTTTACTTTTTTTTTTAACCTTCTCTGCCCTATTGATAGTCTTTAGCCTTTTTGTTCTATTTGTGTGTGTGTGTGTGTGCACACGCACGTGTGCTGGGCTTGGGCCTGAGCTTTTTTGAGCAAGGCTAGTGCACTAACACTTCAGCCACAGCTCTACATCTGGCTTTTTGGTGTATAATTGGAGATAAGTCTTGCAGATTTTTCTGTCTGAGCTGGCTTTGAACCTGGATCTCAGCCTCCTGAGTAGCTAGGATTATAGGCATGAGCCACCAGCACCCAACTTTTGTTCTTCTTTGTAGGTGATTCCCTTAATGCTCTATTTTTGTGATTAAAGTAGAATGTTACATCTGTTGCCTTATCCTTTGTTTCTAAACATCTTTGTTATTTAAGATATGCCTACTCTGATTTCTGTCTTCTTTCGTTTCTTCCTTTCTTCCTTCGTTTCTTTCTTTCTTCCTTCCTTCCTCACTCTCTCTTTCTTCCTTTCTTTCTTTTTTCTTTCTTTCCTTCTTTCCTCCCTCCCTCCCTCCCTCCCTTCCTTCCTCCCTCCCTTCCTTCCTTTCTTCCTTCCTTCCTTCCCTTCCTCCCTCCCTCCCTTCTTTCTTTCTTTCTTTCTTTCTTTCTTTCTTTCTTTCTTTCTTTCTTTCTTTCTTTCTTCCCTCCCTCCCTCCCTCCCTCCCTCCCTCCTTTCTTTCTTCCTTCCTTCCTTCGTCAGTCATGGGGCTTGAACTCTGGGCCGGGCGCTGTCCCTGAGCTCTTCAGCTCAAGGCTAGTACTCTACCACTTGAGCCACAGAGCCACTTTTGGCTTTTTCTGATTATGTGGTGCTGAGGAATCGAACCTAGGGCTTCATGCATGCAAGGCAAGTATTCTACCACTGAGCCACCTTCCCAGCCACCTAGGGGTCCCACACCTGTCACCACAAACTAGATAGTTTGAAACTTACTTCCATTTTTCTTTGATGGCTAATGCTTATGAAAGCAAGAGAAAAGTGCTATGGATCTAGATATTAAGTGAACCTGTTGATTTCCATTGTTTCTGGACTACTTGCTGTCACATGGGAAATTGGAATGTTTTCACATTTGAAGACACCAAAAAGTACAGAAGTTTATAGGTTATTGAAATCTATTGTGGTTAAAAATTATTTTGAATGGGTAAAACACACCCAAGTTCCAAATCCAGTCATACAGAAGGAACAGCAATAGCTTCATGTGTGTGTCTGTGTGTGTGTTTGAGTACAAGGACTTGAATTCAGGGAGTTAAGGTCTTGCTTAGCTTTTTTCATTCAAGGTTGGTACTCTATCACTTTAACCACAGCTCTACCTATGGCTTTTTGGTGGTTAGGGATAGGAGTCTCTCATATTTTTCCTACCTGGGCTGGCTTTTCAAACTTTGATCCTCAGATCTTAGTCTCCTGAGTAGCTAGGATTCAAGGTGAGGATTCAGCCTCCAGCTGGTAATCACATTTGTCATTGTCACTGTCAACCTTCAACATGTGTATACATCATTCACATTGATGGCCCTTTGTCTTAAAGCACAATTGCTGGCATGCTATATATTCTATTCTGCATCCTGCCTTTTTGTTTGTTTCATAGAGTATTTTGATGATTTTTACAGGTTATATATGTAGATGTGTTTCTTTTCCCTATGGCTACATAGTATTGTTGGAATTTCCTGAGATGTGACGTTATCTAGATATCTAAATGTTCTCATAAAGGCAGAAGAGAGAAGAGTAGAAAGAACATGATATATAGATCTGGATTTCAACCTGGGGTCAGTTGTTCGTTTTGTGGCTAAGGATAAGTTATGTAAGTTTTCTGAGCCTCAGTCTTCTCATTTGTAAAATTAGAATAATAATACATCTTACTATTTGGGGGAGTTATTATTTAATTTTTATGATCTTTAAGTAGTTGTACAAAAGAGCTTCACATCCTCCTATCAGTTTAGGATTACAATGTATCTTGATCAATGTCACACCTTCCTTCATTCCCTCTCATCTCTCCCAACACCACCCCTCCTCTCAAGTTACCTGGTTCTATTTCACATACATTGAATATTATGACTGTATTCACCCACTCTTCCTCTCAAAGTGAGTTATTATGAAGATTAAATGAGATGATATTTGTAAAGGATCTGACACATAATAAATGTCATGAAATATTTTTCCATCATGTATGTTATTTATACATGACTCTGGATAGTTTTTATTTTGAATAAATTGGGCTAACATGATCTATGAGAGCATTCCCTAAATCTGTTATCCTCTCAGATTAGAGTTATAAAGATGGGTGCTAGTGGCTCACATTCGTAATCCTACCTCCTCAGGAGGCTAAGATCTGAAGACTGAGGTTCAAACTCAGCCCTTACAGACAAATCTGTAAAATTCATGTCCAATTAACTAGCAAAAAGCCAGAAGTGGAGGTGTGGCTCAAGTGGTAGAGTGGCAGCTTTGAATGAAAAAAACCAAACAAGAACATGAAATCCTGAGTTCAAGTCCCAAGACTGGTTGAAAGGTGTGGGAGAGAAATGGGGGAAGGATTACAGATGGCTTGTGTAAAAGAAAAAGTTGGCATTTAAAAGATGTACAGGGTTGGGAATGTGGCTTAATGGTAGAGCATGCATGAAACCCTGTATTTGATTCCTCAGTACCATGTAAACAGAAAAAGACAGAAGTGATGCTGTGGCTCAAGTGATAGAGTGCTAGCCTTGAGCAAAAGAAGCCCAGGGACAGTGCCCAAGCCCTGAGTTCAAGCCCCAGGACTGGCAAAATAAATAAAATAAGTAAATAAATAAAATGTACAAATGATGGATTTTTGGAACAAAGAATAAACAGGTGCCTATTTTAATTCACTGAGAGTTGTATATAGAGAAAAGTGGGTCAGAACTTGCATTTTCTTTGTCAGTCACAGAAGCTGATACCACTTTTGTGAAACTGAAACCAGTGCAGATTAGATTATCTCATGTTCCCA